ATGGGGGTACAAACTTTAAGGTTACATATAATGCCCTTGCCTCCCCTCCTCCCACAAGTCTGAGCTTCAAGCGTGACCAACCCCCAGACAGTGCACATCTCACTCATTATGTGTGTATATATACTCACCCTCACCTCCCCCTCCCACCTGCCCAATACCCAGTAAATGTAATTCCTATGTGTCCACTTAGGTGCTTATCAGTTAATACCAATTTGTTGGTGAGTATATGTGGTGCTTGTTTTTCCATTCTTGGGATACTTCACTTAGTAGTATGAGTTCCAGCCCTATCCAGGAAAATACAAGATGTGCTATATTGTCATTGTTTCTTAGAGCTGAATAGTACTCCATGGTATATATATACCACATTTTATTAATTTACTCATGAATTGATGGGCACTTGGGTTGTTTCCACAGCTTTGCAATTATGAATTGTGCTGCTATAAACATTCGAGTGCAGGTGTCTTTTTGATACATTGTCCTTTTTTCTTCTAGGTAGATACCCAGTAATGGAATTGCTGGATCAAATGGTAGATCTACTTATATCACTTTAAGATATCTCCATATTGCTTTCCATAGAGGTTGAACTAGTTTGCAGTCCCACCAGCAGTGTAGGAGTGTTCCCATCTCTCCGCATCCATGCCAACATTTATTGTTTTGGGACTTTTTGATAAAGGCCATTCTTACTGGAGATAAGTGATATCTCATTATGGTTTTTATTTGCATTTCCCTGAGGATTAGAGATGTTGAGCATTTTTTCATATGTTTGTTAGCCATTATTCTGTTCTTTTGAAAAGTTTCATGTCCTTTGCCCACTTTTTGATAGGGTTGTTTGATTTTTTTCTTGCTGATTTTCATGAGTTCTAAGTAGATTCTAGTTATCAGCCCCTTATCAGATGTGTAGGATGCGGAAATTTTCTTCCATTCTGTAGGTTGTCTGTTTGCTTTCATGACTGTTTATTTGGCTGTGCAGAAGCTTTTTAGTTTGATCATGTCCCATTTATTCATTTTTGTTGTTGCTGTGATTGCCTTTGGTGTCTTCTTCATAAATTCTTTGCCTAGGCCGATGTCTAGGAGAGTGTTTCCAACATTTTCCTCTAGAATTTTAATAGTTTCATACCTTAGGTTTAAGTCTGTTACCTAGCATGAGTTGATTTTTGTGAGAGGTAAAGGGTGTGGTTCCTGCTTTAGCCTTCTACAAGTGGCTATCCAGTTTTCCCAGCACCATTTTTTGAATAGGGATTCTTTTCCCCAGTGAATGTTTTTGTCTGCTTTGTCGAAGATTAGATGGCTATATGAGGGTGGTTTTATATCAGGGTTCTCAGTTCTGTTCCACTGGACAATATTCCTGTTTTTGTGCCAATACCAAATTGATTTAATTATCACAGCTTTGTAGTATAGTTTGAAATCTGGCATATTGATACCTCCTATTTTGTTTTTGATACACGGGGTCTTCTCTGGTTCCAAATGAAGCATAAAATTATTTTTTCTATATCTGTGAAAAATGATATGGGGATTTTAATAGGGATTGCATTGAATCTGTAGATCAGTTTGGGTAGTATAAACATTTTTAATAAATGTGAGTTGCCGATCTCACAGAGCATGGTATGGATTTCCATCTGTTTACATCCTGCTGCCAGACTTTTCACGTGAAGACGCGGTTGGCTTTACAAACAAGGAGAGACTGGGACCCTATTCTCACTCTTCTGAAACAGAATGATGCCCAACCTAGAATTCTGCACCCTGCACAACTAAGTTTCATGCATGAAGGAAAATTAAGACATTCTCAGATAAGCAAAGACTGAGGGAATTCACCAAGACATGACCAGCCCTACAAGAAGTACTCAAAACAGTGTTACACACAGATCAGCATAATAAATATGCGTGAACGTAAAAACACTCAAAAGCTGAAGATTAAAGGCCAGATACCACAATGGTTTAAGAGAGAAAACAAAGCAACAATGTCTAATCCAACAGAATGAACAATAATCTGCGCCACCTATCAGTTATCTCAATAAATGTGAACAGCTTAAACTCTGCACTCAAGAGACATAGGCTGGCTGAATGGATAAAAAAAAAAAAAAATACAAGCCAAGTATCTGTTGTCTTCAGGAAACATACCTACCCCACAAGGATGCAAATAGACTAAAAAGTAAAGGGGTAGAGATCAGTATTTCAAGCAAAAGTAAGCCAAAATAAGGCTGGCGTGGCAGTTCTGATTTCAGATAATTTAGCTTTTAAACCAACAAAAGTGGTGAAAGACAAAGGAGTATGAACTCTTCGATAAAACTCTTAATTTCACATGGCCATTATGGAAAATAGTATGGAGATTCCTCAAAAATTGTAAAGTAGACCTACCATATACACCAGCAATCTTCCTTCTTGGGTATATACCCAAAGGAAATAAAATCAGTATCTCAAAGAGATGCCTGTACCTCCATATTCATTGCAACATTATTCACGATAGCAATGGTATGGGAACAACCTGCATTCCATGGACAGATGAAGAAATAAAGAAAATATAGAGTGAAATATAGATCTACACACACACACACACACACGAATATTATTTAGCCATAAAAAAAGAAGGAAATCCTGCCATTTGTAACAATATACAAGAACCTATAGGACATTAGGCTAAATGAAATAAGTCAGACACAGAAAGACAAATACTGTATGATCTCACTTATATTTGGAATCTAAAAAAGTCAAACTCCTAGAAAAAAGAGAGAACAGTGGTTGCAAGAGACTGAGGAATGAGGGGGAGATATTGGTCAAAGGAATCTGATGTACAGCATGGATGGTGATGAATGTGTTAATTAATTTGATTGTGATAATCATTACACAATGTACCCAAATATCAAATCATGTTGAACACTTTGAATATATACAATCTTTGTCAATTAAATCTTTTTAGATTAAGAAAAAACTATTAACTTCATATTTTCCATGTTTTCTGTTTCCCCTAGATTGTTCTTTTTATTTTTTCTTTTATGTCCTTTTTATTGTCATAACACAATAATAAAACAATAATAATAATAATAAATATTTAGGGATATTTACTCTATACTACCCATCATTTACTAATATAAAGGAACTGAAGTTTTTATCAAATAAAACCTACAGGTCTGTTCCTTATAATTTCTTCTCATTTCTAAGCAGAGAAAGTCAATCTCTTTTTGAGAATTTTAACAAATATTCAATCCATTTCCCTCTCATTTTTAAGTTTGGTTTTATTTGTACTGATACACAAGAATTGTACATATTTATGGGGTACAGTGTGATGTTTTGATGCATATATACATCGTGTGATCAAATCAGGATAATTAGCATATCCATCACTTCAAGCATTTGTCATTTCTTTGTGGTGAGAACATTTAAAATCCTCTTTTCTAGTGCATTTGAGGTACATAATACATTATTATTGATTATAGTCACCCTATTGTGCAATAGAACATCAGAACTTCTTCTTCCTTCTCTCTAAATGTAACTTCCTACCCATTAACCAACCTCTCCCCATCCTCTGGTAACCACTGTTCTACTCTCTACTTTTACAAGATCAGCTTTTTTATGTTTCACATATGAATGAAGCCTCTACCTTTAAATACTTGTCTTTCTAAACTCTCTGGATTTATCTTGGTGTATCTTATCAAGCACCCACATGGAAATTTTTTTTTTTCCCAATCATTAGCAACTTTTCAAATCATCAGTCTCAACAGTGTGCAATGCAACCAGAATAAAAGCAAGGAAATGATGCAAACAAGAGAGGAAGAAGATTAAAAAGTTGTGTTCATAATAAGTACAAAGAAGGAAATAGACTATGATAAAATAAGTGCAAAACCAGAAGCTGTAGAAATTTGTCTACATACCCAATGTGAATCTTGTTCTTGATTTTTGCACTTCTGTGATATAACATTAATATTACTCTATTAATACTTGTGATTTTTGAAGCAGTGTGTTTTAAAAATCAATGTAATTTAAAAAAATCACAAGATCACTCCTCCAAAGAACTACCTTTCCCAAACCAGTTTTAAGCTCTTTAGAGATATGATCTGTGCTTCTGCTTCTTTTACATCTCCCACATTGCTCAGTACAGGGCTTGCTGTGAAGGTGAGTGCTGGTCAGTAGGTGTAATACAACATTTGATTGACTCCTTCCATAAATATTTCTGGGCACTACATGGCAGACACTGGGTTTTCTGCTTAAACAGTGGCCACAAAACAGGAGCTGTCTTTGCCCTCATGGCAGCTGCATTATTGAGGGGGAGATTGTGTTTTTCAAATAAATTCTAATTACTGATTATAAGTACTTGGAAGGAAAAAGACAAGGTCAGGTTGAGGAGATGTCAAAGGTGGCTTCTCTGGAATAATGGCATTTTTGAAAGAGATCCAAAGCATGAATGAGACCTAACTAGGTGAAGTGGGACAGGGAGTGAGCAGATAGAGGGAATAGTTTACGCAGACACTTTGATGAACTCTAGAAGCACATCTTTCAAATGATCATTCCAGTGGCTCCCAGAGAAAGCCGAGAGGAAGCAGGAGAGAAAGTGGGGGCAGGGAAAGTAATGGGAATAATGATACAACTCCATAATATCAAAGAAATTAGCCAAAACGTAAACAGTTTAATTTACTGCTAGTTGGTCTATGCAAGACACCAAGCAGCTGCCTTATCTGTGTTCTTACACTCAAGACACTACCCTCGCCCCTGTCCTGGGTAGCTTTTTTCTGGAATCAGAGGCTGCCTGTACGGTTGGCCAATGATTAGCATTCCCTACTGTCCCTAAGATGCTGCCAGCACCATGGGCTTAAGTAATGTCATGTCTTAAGCGTAGCAAAAATGAGTACTTTCAGACAAAGTTGTAGAGAAATAAAACTCTTTGCTGTATTTTCTCAAACTCTGCCCATTCTGTACTTCCATCTTTGTCACCATGACAACACCCAAAACAAATAGTGAAAAGTGTTTTTGCTTTTTACACAGGATAGAACGTGTCCAACAGACGTTACCTTCACCTCATATAACAGATCTTGTCTCCCGGTGATGCTCACGTTCCTGACCTTGTTTCCAGGCTCTGGGCATGGTAGGCCACCTGCCCAGGAGCACTGCAGATGTCACAGGTAGATTCAGGAGCTCCAGGGAGTTGGTGTCTTTCAAGTCCAAGTGTCCTTCCCAATGTCTAGTATCAATCAACAAAAGATTGCAAATTACCTGTTATATATTTACCGCCAGGTAACTCTCTCTCTCTCTCTCTCTCTCTCTCTCTCTCTCTCTATATATATATATATATATATATATATATATATATATATATATATATATAATATTAGAGAGAACTTACAGCATTGATCAGGGAGAATAAAGAAGAAAATATAAGCCATGGAAGGCTGGAGCCATATCTCTGCTGCATTCATATGTCCTCCGTTTTAGCACTAACCTCAGCAGTGGCTGGGGCAAAGGCTTGTTATTTTCATTGAATTAAAATACCAGTTGCTTTGGTTTGTCAATGTCCAAAATGATCTTTCAAAAAGAGTTTTTAATGTGTGCAACACTCAGATCGTAGCTCCTCTTGTGAAGATGAAGGCAATTTTCCCGCGCCATTTTTTTCAACCCTAATAAAAGCCGGTTTTTCAGTGGAAATATGGATGGAAATCCCTGCTCACAGGGGCAATGCACTGTCAGGCAGGCACACTCTCATTGGAGTGGCATCTCCAGTCCCCAGCGGGTCGTTCAGGGTCAGAGGCTCCAGGCTTGATCAGCACCCTACACATTTTCTTGACAGATGGGCATCTTTGGCACCTCGGCCAGTGAACAACAGCTCTGGTGCCCATGATTACTTCCTCGGTTCCTCTGCCAAGCTAAAAGACAGAGATTTCCTTTGCCTTTAAAAATATGCATAAACGTTGTTCCCTATTTTTATTTTTGTGATGTTGTTCTAAAATAGACCCTAAGGAGCCCATATTCAAGTTTTGATCTTTTAATGCATTTGCTTTGGTAAACACTGTGCAGAAAACATCCATAAAAGACTCGAAATCCATTAAGAAGGAAATGACATTGGAGGTTGTTCTGAGGATCACTGAGCGGAGTTGGTGGCTTCGCCTGCCAGGCTGGGAAGGAGGGCCACCAGAGACTCTCGGGGACCCAAGGTCAAGATTCCCACCCAAAGAAGGAAATTCCTGGGGGAAATTTTTCAAACCACCCCTATGCTCCCTGAGATGATCCGGATGTGCTCCTCTCACCAGTTGAGAGCCACTGAGGCAGACGGCGTGATTTAGTGGTGATAGTCGTCATGGTCTGAATAACCAGTGGATGCCTCTCATTACCTGTGTGATACCGGATGTGTTAATAGCCTTTCTGTACCTCACTTCCTCGTCTGCAAATCGAGGACGCTAACACCTCACAGAATTGTCGTGAGATGTAAATTAGGTGTGCACAGTGCCCGGTACATGGTAAGCTTTCCATGAGTGTGATTTCTCTCTCTACCTGTCTCAGAAAATGAGAAAGCTGGAGAGTCAGACAAAATTGGCCTCGCCTTCTTGTTCGTATGCGGAGTTGACATCATCATTCTTTTGAGACCACATGTCGTTTGACACAACAAATATATCCATGTCCACATATGAAAGTCAGAGTGATGTTTTGTTTTTTTTTTTTTGAAAGAAGTGGGCAGTGAAAAGAGAGAGAGTGGAGGGATCGGAAGATGAATAGAAGCAGGACGATGAAGAGAACTAAATTATCTTGGGCTAAGCTGCACTGGGTGCTATCCAGATGTTTGTATCCACTTAATTGTTCACATTACCATGAGGGATGGGTACTGTTATCCCTTGTTCAGAAGTGAAGAAACTGAGATTCAGAGAGCTTAAGTGACTGACCCAGTTCAGAGCTAGAGTATATCAGAACCCAATTCTCTCCACTCCATATCCTTCCAGCACTTTCTGCATCACGGCCTTGTCCCCACTCCCCATTTAACTCTTCCCTTCACTGCTGTTTCTTGGTGTTGCTGTTGTTTGTTTTCTACCTGGCATTCAACTGGTATCCACAGTCTATTTCCTAAAGTAACCCAAGAAACATTTGAGTTACTTCAAGGAAAAATCCAGGTAAGCCTAAAGCAAGGCTTCACTAGTGCTCAGTAGATAATGGATATTACAATTCTGTTGTTACCAATATTGTCACTAAGGACTCAGGGGACTGAGGACACAGAGAGTTAAAGGAAATAAATCAGTGATGAATCTAACAAGTGTTCTGCCTGCCAACTATTAATAAGCTATATGGAAATCCATCCTTATAAAGTTGTTTTCCTTGAGCAGATTGTTGATGTGATTCAAATATTGAAAATCAATGTTACATGTGTCCATACTTTCAAAATATTTGATTCACTAGTTCATTAGCACATTTAGTACAGGACATTTGGCAGAATGATTGATCACTTGCAATACACATGAATAAATAAAATTATTGAGAAAAAATAAGGTTTTAGACTGGCTGATAAATTTACCCTTTTGGGTTCTTAAAATAATCTTGTCAGAGTCTTTAAGAAAAATTCCACAGCAAACAGTGATCTGGCCTCTGACATGTAACTATATTTTTGCTTAATAAAGGACTTCGAGAAGGTTCTAGAATAAGACTTGGTATCAGAAAAGAGGCAAAGATAATTTTAAGGACAGAGAATTTTATGGACAAAATCCACATGTCACCAAGGCATCCAGAAAATACCAGGAAGCTACCACCTCACTCTCTCAACCCAATTCCTCGTTGGGCAAGCTATGTAGAAAAGGCATCAACAATGTTAAGGGAAGAATTTCCCCCACTGGGACCTCTGGAGCACATCCAATTAACCAGAAAATGGGGAAAAGCTTGAAAGAATAAAGCCCAATCCCCAGAAGTTTTTGGTTTCCCACCATATTAGATAGCTCTAAAAACTATCCCCTATCAGCACTATAGAAATTGATATAAGTAATTAAAAATTGTTCCTAGCTAATAAAACATCTCCTCTTGCTTGGTATTCATCTCCCAATCAACCAAGTGGATGAAGAAAGATTTACCATTACAAAGGAGCATGTCACCACCTTATCTCCTAAGAGGGTTACAGGCTTATAACTAAACATGCTAGTGAACTGGGGTGGAAATAATATGAAAAGTGTGGACCCACAGGGACACATTGAGCTGCAATATTTGAAGCATGTCAAAATCATATTCAAATAAAATCATGCTATAAAAGCGGAATTCTATACTGCAAATCAGTCTATTTAGTCTCCTCATAACCTCATTACTAATGTTCTCCACCCAAACTGTGCTTCACACAATCCAACTGAAAACATTACGTTCTACACAGTCTTTCTTTACCCTCTGGCACCAGTTCTTTCCCATTTAGTGAAATTTTTGTAATGGTCAATTATTCCTATAAGCTCTGATTTGCTATTGACTCATTCCACAAACATTTAATTCACACTATCACCTGAAGCCACTATGCTAAGCATGGGATGTATGAATATAAATTGTGACAGTCGTGACCTCACGATTTTGTATTTTAAGAGCTTCAAGCAGATTCTTAATCCTTAATTGTACTATAATGAGCTGAATGAACTTATAAAAAGATATGTAGGTTTGCAGAGCATATAACGTAACTTATGGGTAGAGCACTAACTTGGCCCTCAAAGGATGTGATCTAGGGATTCTTATTTAACTTATAGGCTGCCTCACTTTGTGTTTACACTTAAGATGTTTGTTATTTTTTTTTTCATGTGGTTTTATATTACCCAAAAATACTGAAAGTTTATTGTGGGCCAAAACATGCCTTTAACTTCTATAGGTTCCCTTAAGTACCCCTGAATAATATTTGACATACACAAAGTACCTCCAAATTCTTAATGGTATATTGATCGGTTTGCATATCTAGTAACTAAAAGAAAGTGTCTAGAATGTTTGAAAGAAGAAATTGCAAACTAACAGGACTTCAGGCCAGTCTGCAAAAGTGTTTGTGTATTTGCCTGCAAAGAGTCTTAAATTTTTTAAACCATGGCCATTATTTAAGATTTGATATATTTCACATAAATATCCAGATTTCCGCATTGCCTTGGAAAATCAGAAAACCTGATAGAATTTGTGCAAATTCTCTCATAGCAACAAATAACTGGATTGGAGAAGAAGCTATCATCGTGTTAGGGCATTTCCTGTCCAGGTCACGAGGGCCTACTGAGCCAACTTCACTCATTTGCATTGCCTATGTGGCTTCTGCATGTATTGAGTTTGCAATGTATTTTAAACATTGAGGTCTTTGTAAGGCATTTGTCATCTCCAAATTCCTATATGCCCTTGGTTGGGCAGATAATTTGCATTCTGCACAGCCTGCATTCTTTACCCCCCACGTGAAGGCACTGTCATGGACTAAATCAAAATTTATGGGAAAATAGAAAATAAAAAGGGGTGGTATGCACTGAGGGCATCCATGCTTAGGAAGAAAAAAATTTTTCTTATTTTATTCTCCAACTGACAACCAGTCTGCCTATGCTATGTTCTCAGAAAAATAATTAATTTATTAAAGAAGAAGAAGAAAAAGAAAGAGAAGGAAGGAAGGAGGGAGGGAAGGAGGGAGGGAGGGAAGGAAAGAAGGGAGGGAGGGAGGGAAGGAAGGAAGGAAGGAGAAAGAAAGAAAAGAAAGAAGAAAGGAAAGGAAGAAAGGAAGGAAAGAAGGAAAGAAGGAAAGAAAGAAAGAAAGAAAGAAAGAAAGAAAGAAAGAAAGAAAGAAAGAAAGAAAGAAAGAAAGAAAGAAAGAAAGAAAATGCCTAGTGCAGTTAGCAGCAGCTGCTACTACATTCAATGCATGACCCCATCATCTTGGGGCTCAAATATTCGGTAGAATTTGCTGGGCTTTCTCCTGGGAGGAAAACAAAGTACATTAACTTGGCCTTTTGTTATTAATGAAGAAAGGTATGAATAAACAAGACTCATCCTTTAATCCTCAAAGAATCATATTTTTCTAATAAAGTGATGAATATCTAAATCATCATCATCAACCACAAAATTAATTATCTTGTTGGATAACCGAAAAGATAGAAAACTGGCAGCCAAGGAATCTAGGCAAGCACTCATTTTTCTGGGCATCAAGTTCTTCATACAACAAATAAAAAGGATCAGATGATCTCTGAGGTTCTTCTAGTTCTAAAGTGCCTTGATTTCTTCAAG